GATTGATAGCAAATTTGAGATTCTTTGTCACAAGAGAAAAATGAAGCAAAAAGAGAAATGAGCAATTTGTAGGAATATTAAATGTTTTCCAAGTATTTCTGTGCTAAAAAATGAGGCTTGAGCATTTGCAAAGGGATGACGTGCCCTCAGCTTTGTTAAGCTACAGAAGAATGGAAACAGAGGGGTCAGGTACATGGAGTGCGCCAAGGCTGTGATTTAGGAGGACAGATTTTCCATAAAAGTGTGTGATTGAGAACTACAACTCTCTATAAATCTGTGATATATATCAAATACTAATGTGTAATATCCCTACTTCTGTATCAATCTATTGATATATAATCATGTAATACGTTTCTCCGGTGAATGTAGCTACATATTTTTGCTCCAGATACTGCCCTGCAAATTCATGCATATGGGTAATAGTTCTTAGAAGCAGGCAATAGACCATGTAAACAGCCAACATAGCACATAATGAAGCTCACGGAGAACAAATTTTATCACCAAACGTCAGCTCAGCCAACTCCTCTTCTAGATGGTTTCCTTAGATATATTACGTAAGTGAACAAAATATTCCTGAGCGTGACAAAATAAATATTGATGTTTTTTAAATATTTTATCTGAAACCCCACGGAAATGAGCCTCGCCTGCCACTTAGGGCACAGCAAAGCGTGTAACATGATGTTGCTCTGCTCTGCACCTTATCGCCCTGTCTACATGCAATCTTCCTCCTGCTATCACTATTCATTTTTCATGTGCCAAGTATTCATTAATCCTTTAACCTCACTAGGTGGAAAACAGGTTTTCTCCGTCGAGCACTCAGCGCTGGGAAATCACTGCTCCCTCTTCCAAGTGGTTAAGAGGAATGACTTTGAATACATATGGTTCTTATTGATAAATCTGGATATAAGCTGCGTCTATCCAGGGAATGTTTCCCGTGGACTTCTATGGTAACCCACTACATATGGGACTGCATATTTTATCTTTTAAAACACTTGTGTTACAATCTTAACTTTTGACTTGGGTAAAATGTTCTTAAACCTAATGAAGGCCACATGTAATTTCTGGTGAGCTTTCTGAACTCATTCTGTGTGTAAAACAATAATCCAAGGAAACAGGGCATTTGGGCCACTGGATTATATTTAAATTCTGCACTCACTTTTCTCCGGAGAAAATTATTACACTGGTAATGAAATAAAAACAAAACGCTATCTTCTATACCTTGCAGAGGCATACATTTATATACAGACTCATACATACTTACATGATATTATATATTATATATTATATATTATATATTATATATTATATATTATATATTATATATTATATATTATATATTATATATTACATACTACATACTACATACTACATATTACATATTTAACCTATCTTATTTGCTTTTCTCCCTTTTCTAACCTTGTAGAAGTGGATGCTGGACACAGGGACAAGGTCAGCAACTTACGTTGACTCTCACTCATGTCGAGGGCGGCCGTGGTCCATTCCCAAAACAGCTAAGGAAGAATCCATGGAAAGGTTCAGGGATGTATTTTAGGCTGCTGCCATGGCACGCCCTAAGGAGCAGAAAGTGGTTCTAGTTTTCCTGGCTTCCTCATACGGTGCAGACCAGCAAACACTATTTTGTGTTTACTAAAAGTAATAGCATTTTGGCAGGAATTATGTACCTGATGCCTGGTTTTCTGTGTAAATATGCACACTGCGCAGCCTCATACACACACACTCACACACAAAATGTTGCACTGCAAACCAACTTTCTCACAGCAAACCACTTCATTCACCAAATCCTTGGTTTTGAGGATTGCTTTTGAGCTGAATTTGGGTTTGCAGAGGGCAAAAGGTGGACAAAGAACTCCCCATTTTCTACATGCTCTGACCCTGGAGAAGGCCAAGGCTGGGCACAGCACCCTAATACCCTGTCAGATTCCCCAAAATTGCACCTCTCCTGAACACTGCCAAGAAACCACCTCAGCAGCAGTGGCCAGGCAAAGCTCACACTGGTCCAGGTGCGTTTACTCCATACATTGGGGACCATAAGGAAAGGCAGCAGAAAGAGGCTGTATCACCTTTATATTAAGAACAGGCTCGCTAACACAAGGGAATCCCTTGCGGAAGCAGTTAAGTCAGCTTTGACAATGCTGCTGGTCGTATTTGGGCCAAAGCAGCGCTCGTGGTGTAAACAGCAGAAAGCTTTTGAGGAGACTCTGAGCCTCCAAATTTCCATTTTTGCTTCCCCATTTTCTTTAAGCAACTCCTTTCAGACACCCACGAAATTAATGAGCTTTTGTCTTGAACGTTATTGTAAGCCGCCGCAACCGCTTTTGCTGCACACTAGTTGCACCTTAAAGGGAGAAAAAAAAAATCCCCCCAGTTTCTGCGGCCCTTCCGTGTGAAAAAACATCCCGCAGAGGAAGTTCTCGAAACAGCTGGCAGAGGCGAAAGGAGGATTTTAAGTGGGGGAACAGGAGGCGGTTGGGGGGGAAATGGAGTCGAGGAGAGGGCTAAAGATCGGCTTGCAGAGCCGAGCCCAGCGGCGGCCAGGTGACCGTTATGACCGTTACGACCGTTGGAGCCGTCGTC